GCGGGCGGGGGTTGCTGCCTTGGCGCTGTGGGGAATAACCCGGGGCCCCTGGCGCTGTGGGGAATAGGATAACGCGGGGCTCCTCGGCGCTGTGGAGGGTAACGCGGGGCCCCTGGCCCTTGTGTATGCGGGGCTGGGGCGCTGCCCGGCTCCCGCTGCCTGGTCTATGTGGCGTGGCCGCGGAGCCAGGCTGTCCTTCTGCGTGGTTATTTTCCGCCGCAGCGAGCGGTTTCCTCTGCGGTCCCCTCCGCTCTAACGCCCCTGGCGTGGCAATGGAGGAGGGCCGGTATGCGGCCGGGCAGGCGCCAGTAAGAGGGCAGCGGCAGGAGAGCGCTTCGCTCGCGCTTGGGACGGTTACTGCCATAGGGGGCGGTAGCAAACGCTGCTTTCCTAGTCCTGCATGCCTGGCAGCTCCTCTCCGGAAGAGCCGAGATCATGGAGGGTGTTCACCCTGAAAGGCTTTAGGGTTGTAATGCTGCCACCTTGCGCTTTAGCGGGGCGGGGTGGGTTATCACAGCTGCCAGGGGCTGGGAAGGGTGGGAGTGTGCTCATCCCAGTCCCATCTAAGCTTCAATCCTTATCCTTCCCGAGGAAATAGTGAAGAGAGCATATTTTAATTCTTGTGACTTCCAGGCCATCCATAGGAATATGAAGTGCATGGGAGCAGAGGACTGCGCAAGCACAGGGAAAGCTTGTTGGGAAACCAGACAAGTCTCTCTCTCCCACGTGGTTCCATGACAGCTGCCCGAATCACCAAAAGCTGCTAATTGTCCCCACTTCTTCCGCAGATTTGTAGGTGCTATGAGTATTCCCTAAGGCTTGCTACTGCCTGCATAATATTCGTGCTACCTCTAGTGGAGCAAGCCGTTGCAGTAGAAGATCCTCCGGGGAAGGAAAAAAAAAAAAAGTTTTGTCGTTTTGTGAAAGGAAGAACACCAAAGCCACTGATAAGAGAGTGGAACCTTTACGTGGCAGCATGAAACCTTACAGTGTGGCCACATGATGGCAACATAATCTCAAAAACTGAGGGGATTCTGTGTGTGTGCAAATTAAGAGGTTCCGTCTTCAGTGCGTGGGTGTAGATAATAAACATCCTTAAAACTCTTTGCTTGTATGCTTATTTATTTTAAAATAATTACTGTTCATCTTCTTGTGGTCAGACTTGCAGGTCACACCTCCTCCATGTGTAAAAACAAATGCAGTATCTACCAAAAGGGGAGGAACATGTGATGGTCATGTGTTATTTGATGATGTTAGATCTTTGTGCAGCTGTTAAGCCCTTGTTGCTCATTCAGCATTATCACAACCTATTGTAAAGGAGAAGGCCATCAAAAGGAAAAGGGTAAAGGTCGGGGGGGGAGAAGAAAAGATCGAGAAATCTTAACACACAAAAGTCAACCAATTTTAATGAATTGCATAATGCAAAATACAATTGCAGTCTGTTGGCACCAACCACTTATTTGCCATATCCACTCGGGCACTTGCTTCATTGTGTACTATAGTGGCAGAAATCCAGCTTGTTCTCACTTCCCCAAAACATGGTCCCATCTCAGTGAAGTAACAGACACTTGAGACTTACTGATCTGCTGGGCCATGAAACGCTGAAAGTTCCAGCTCTGCCTTTTGGAAACTGCTGATTCCATGGAAAGATTCATGCTGTAAGGAGATAATACTGCAGAGCATGAGGGCTCTCAAAAAAGCATCCCCCTCTGCTCTCCTGCCTCGCATTGTGCTTCTCTTCTGGGATCAGAACACTGTTCTATGTTTCTGTTTCCAGAGCGTCTCGGAGGAAATGTAGGAAACACTAGAAAGGCCAACTTGGTGTGAATCAAGTAGTTATGTAAATAAGATATAACCTTAAGTACATGAGTATTCCCCCCCCCTTTTTTTTTGATATATTCAAATGCTCTGCAGAATTTGAGCGTTGGCAGAGGCCCAGTCATATTTGACCATCAATCTTGCTAACTGTGGAAGCTTTTAATGTCTTTAAAACTACCAAACGGCAGAAAAATCAAGCTATCATTTTTGATAGCCTCCAAATAATACCTGCTTGTAAAACCAGAAAGTGACACTGTGCATCACTTGGCTCTGTGGATCAGAGCATTCTTTCTCTTATTCTTGTGTACTGATTTCTTAAAAATCTAAAGCCTCTCTGGGTCAACCCTGTTTAAGCAACATTTTCACACCTCTAATGCTGTTTTGTTTTTGCAGCTATCACCACCGCATTAGTTTCCTATTTAAAGCTTTTCCCGGTAACTACGTAGGTTAGCAAAGTGGCAAACAGAATCACTGCACTGAAAAATAAAAAATCAAATCCTATTGGCTTATAGTACAAATCTGATCTAACCTAGTTAAAGCTCCCCGTGTAATATTTTAGTCTTTAAATATTGCAAACACATCAATTTGCTGATCAATTTTGATCCATTGTATACTTGATTAACTTTTCAATATGAGTATCTTATAAAACAGCAAACTGATTGAAAGAGATGCTTCTAAAATATCCAAACTCTTGAATACCTCATGTATTGACATCAAATAGTTAAGACTAATATGGAAAGACCAAAATGTTGGTTTTCATAGAATCATAGAATGCTTAAGGTTGGAAGGGACCTCTAGAGATCATCTAGTCCAACCCCCCTGCACACGCAGGGTCACCTAGAACACGTGGCACAGGACTGCGTCCAAGAGGATTTTGATCTCCAGAGAAGGAGACTCCACGACCTCTCTGGGCAGCCTGTTCCAGTGCTCTGTCACCCTCACTGTCAAGATTTGTTCCTTAAGTTCCTGTGGAACTTTCGATGCTTCAGTTTGTGGCCGTTTCCTCTAGTCCTATCGGTGGCCACCACTGAAAAGAGGCCAGCACCATCCTCCTCACTGCCTCCCTTGATTCAGATGTACAGAAAGAAAAAATACCTTAAAATATCAGAGGCTCTTTTGGATGTATAAAGTTTTCCCTTATCCTTCTAAAGATTCTGTATCACAGGCCTCGGTGATTTAACATTATGTGCCCAGGGCACATAATGTTAAAAAACAAGGCTAGTAAAGGGTGAGACTGACATTTGAGTTTAAATGAGCGGAATGTCTTCTGTAAGGTACAGTCGCGAGATGCTTCCAAAGAGCCAGTATTGATTTCTAACCTCCTAATAATTCACTTAGTAATTCAGTTTATGAGCCTGCTAGCATAGTGTACAGAGAAAGCCTTCAGTCTTTAGAAGTTTTAGGCATTTCAGTAAAAAACTATGCTTTTACATTCACAAAAAGAAAGAGAATGCTTCTTTCCTTGCAGAATCCTATGTTGGCATATCCGGTTAGCTTTTCATTTATGTACAAATACCCATACAAAATATATATAAGGCTTGGTAGATGCCTGTGCTAGGTTCTTCTGTGTCTGCCTTAGAGATAATATCCAGAGAACAGATTTCCAGGCATCCTTCACAGAATTGATTTAAAAAATGTTAATTCCACTTTTTTCACTAGAGGCAGTTTACAGTGCAGCAGAGACCTCTTGCTCTCCCGTAGACTGTGTGTAAGTGGAGCTAGCCCGTTCAGCTGGGTCAGCATAGAAAACTGGGCAATATTTGCAGAGGTGGGATGCAATGTGCTTTCGGAAAAAGCACCGAAGATACTTCCTGAACTTTTCTCCGGCAAAGGCATAGATCACTGGGTTGATACAACAGTGGATCATTGAAATGGTTTCTGTCACTTGGATTGCTTTCTCCAGTTGACCACTGATTTCGCAAGTATTGAGGGATAATGATACTTGAAAATCACGCAAGAGAATGCTGATGTTGTATGGTGCCCAGAATAAAAAGTAGACAATCATGATGATAAAAATAAGCCTGACTGCTTTGTGTTTTTTCTCATTCCTGCATTGCAGTAATGTCTTTATAATTTGTGTGTAACTGCAGATCATAATGAGCATGGGAAGAATAAGCCCCAGGATGTTCATCTTTAAAGTCAAGAACTGCTTCCATGCATTTCTCTGGTCTGATGGATAATGAGGGCTGCAAGTAAAACGTGAATTTTCCTTTTGACTTTTGTGAAAGAAGACTCCAGGGAGGGAGACTAAAAGAGCAACAACCCAAGTGACAGTGCTGGCGAGGATGCCATAGGTGACTGTTCTGGCTTTCAGAGCAAACACTGCATGCACTATGGCCAGGTACCTGTCTATGGTCAGGAGGATTATGAAAAAGATGCCGCTGTAGAAGCCGAGGAGGTAGGCGCCTGAGAGAATCCTGCAGAGCGCATCGCCAAAAATCCACTCTTGGGCAGCGTAGTAAGCCCAAAACGGGAGGGAAAATATAAAGAGCAGATCAGAAATGGCCAAATTGAGCAGGTAGATGTCAGTCATACTCTTCAGTCGCTTGTATTTCACCAGAATAAGGACAACAAGCATGTTGCCCAGGAGGCCAAATATCACCACCAAGGAGTAAAGTGGTGGCAAAAATTTTGCTGCAAAATTCCTTTCCTCGATCCTTGTGCATGGGACGGCATCATCATAGTCAAACTCAGTTGTCAGTAGTAAGTTCTCTGCGTCAGCGGTGTAGTTTTCCACCATGTGTTCATCTAGAAAGGAAGAAAAGGATGTTTAATGGCAGAGCACTCCATAGCCTTCGTTTGCAGGGAGTGAAAGCCATTGCTGCCCTCCCCTGGATTATTTCTGGCTCTTCAACATATGAGCTGTGCTAATGCTAAGGTTGAGAAGAAAACAAAGCTGCAGAGTTCATGCACACACAAGTCTCTCTAGCAAAGAGGGAAGTCTGGGCTCTGGCAAAGGCGCTTGGCAGGCCAAACCTTCCTGGCTGCTAGGTTGTTCGTGCCTTACTGAGAGCCGTAATGTCAGTGGGAATGAGGTCGCTCATGGTGTGGAAAAGGTGGTGCTGCAGCAGCACCGAGAGTACTCACCGAGTGAATCTGCCATCCTGGTAGAGCAGAGCGGGCAAGGAGGCAGTGCTGTTCTGGGATAAAAAGGCAAATGTTCGGGTCAGGTGTGGGCCATGAAAACGTGCTGCTCTGAGGTCTCTGTGGAATGAAATCAGGTCACAGTCATGTCCTCTGGGGAAGACGCGGGGTGTGTTAAGCAGATGTCCCGCAGGGTAATGCACCTGGGAAAGAGCAGACAGGCAAACAGCTTCTGAAGTGGTGTAAAGCCTTTCTATTTCTGTCAGCAGGGACTGTAAGACTTCTGCCAGATATATGGAAAAGAGGTAGTGCATTTTCAGCACACCCGGTGTTTTATTAGAGCATACTGTTCAGGACTTTACTAGAAGCTACTCTTCTGTTGAATGATTTGTCCAATTCTGAATTTTATTTTCTTTCAAAAGGCATGGTGGTTTGGATTTGAGCTGATATCAAGTGTGATATCTTTTTGACAATTGGAACATTTCCAGCTGTGCAAGCAAAGACGATACTTCAAAATGCTAGTGCCCCTTCCATAGTTTGTCTCAAGGTGGATAACAGAGTTAAACCTAAGCCTGAGATCCTGGAATAGGGATTGGCTTTTGGTAGGTCTGCACCCACTTGCTTATGACCTTAAAAATGAGTCACTCCTGACCTGCCAGCTCCTATGGAGTTTCTCATACAACACAGTGCAGGTAGGAAGCTGCACAAAAAGGAAAAAGCCTTGTTGAAACAAAATCTGCTACTCGTAAACACAAAAGAGCTTTTGCAAACCTTTCCCTGCCTCTTCCCTATTTTCTTGCAGTGTTAGACCCTTTACTCTGTTCCTAATATCTTAAGAGGGAGAACTTCCAATGTTCTGGGGTAGCTTTGCCACATTAAAGATGTTTTCTTCTGGAGATCAAAGAGCAGGGGAAAATTGGCAATTTTTGACAGTTCCAGTCTCAACTATGTCTGGATACAATTTCTTGGGGAAAATAGAAGTGCACTGAGACTCCTCAAAGAGGACTGGCTTTCAGGAAACACTGACTACCTCTGTGAAACCGTTTTTTTCCATATCTGCACTAACTGCATAGTCATTGCAATACTGAGATCATGGTTTGATTGGTGAAGGAAGTGGCTGTGGCTCAGGTGTACTGACAGTAAATAAGCTAATTTAAAAGTTATCTGAGGGGTTATACTTTTTAATACTCTCAGCAGTTCTTTTAGGAAATAAAAAAAAAAAGTGTACCTTGACAAAAGAAACATGGATCCAAAACACTGACTTGTTCATTTCATTAATATACCAAGACTTGGGCCCTGCAGGAGTATTTAAAATTCCCTTCTGCTAGATCTAGATTGCGTGCTCCGACGTTGCCAGATGTTGGTGACTGCCTATAGCTAAGGATCCCTATTTGGGGTATATCAGCCTTCCAGCTGCACCACACATTGAGATCACGGGATGAGGAATTGTCTGCAGCCCCAGCGTGTCCTGGGATCATGGCCAGTTTGACCCTCCTTCCTTGCCTGGCTGTCAATTCGGGAGAGCATTCGCGGGTTGTCGAAAGCCAAAAGATTGTCCAGCTCAGCAGCAGCAAGTGCCCTAAAGCAGATGTTCTGCAGGGTTGGAAGGGGCCGAAGCCACAGCCCAGCAGCCCAGTTGCAGCCACAAAGCAGGCAGGAGGCCGTCAGCCGCAACGAGAGGGTGGCACACTGCGGTGGTTAGGAAGGGGGTTGCCCATCTTGATAACCCTCTGACTCGATCCTTCTGTGCCTGCATGCTGCTGGCAGATAATCATATAAAGCCGCCTTGATATTATTGTGACAGCTTCTTTTATCACAGCCCCTTCCTCCTGCTAACGGCTGTCTCATTGCCCTTCTTCCTCCTTTTCCTTTCCTCTGCAAAATTAGAATAACTCCCAGGTCTTTCCTGCACCTTACTTTCTTACTTTCAATTGCTTTTACGTGCTTAAATAGTTGTCTGCCCTCTGAGTGGCTCCCCTCTAGCTGAGCCTCATTCCTCTAGTGTCGCTTCAGAAGCCACTGCCTGCAAAACTACTTACTGCCACGAGTTGTGTACAGTGTCCAGCATACGGCGATAGTGGAAACTCTACAGGTACTAATTTGGAAAACAGATCGGGGAATTGCCATGTGCTTTACCCTAGTCTCAGTGTTTTAGGAAACAGTTTTGGCTAGCGGACTAACAGACCTTCAGTTGTATTGTTAATTAGACCCCTGGCTGAGTCTGTTTGCTTATCATTAGGAGAAAACCAAAGATAATCCCCGTAGATCTCTGAAGGAAGAACATTTTAAAGGAGCTATACATTGTTCTGAGAACAGCTTAGATATATTCAGTTATTCTAGAAATCTGCAATTTCCTAGACCAATTTGCTAGTTGAAACTAGCAGTCGTTTGGTTTTCAAGTCAACAAGTTCTCCATAGGCAAGCTGAGCAAACTCAGATGTCTCTGATTCATGCCGAGTTTCAGATAAAAACTCTCTGTTTTCAAAAAGATTTTATTAAATCTTTTTAAATCAGTCACAGTTCATTTGCACAGTGTTGTAAAATAGTAACAATTAAAAATGTGCAGCAAGCAGAGGTAAAATGCTATGCTGTGTAGCAAGTAAACAGGTGCTATGAGAAAGATTGTTTAAATTGCATCAGATTTTCTGTGATCATCCTGCAAGAGGAGCATGGACTCTATGCTCAGATCAACTGCTTTGTCTTCACAGAAATGATTTGAAATTAGAGATTTCCATCATGATTTATCAGTTGAGAGAAAATAATTTGATGTATATAATCTGTCAAACAGACATATTTTTCATTACATTCTTACCCCGATCACCCCCTGTAAGTTTGTTTCCCTGTTCAAATCTTGTAGTGGTTCTGTCCTTTAAAAGTAGTTCATTACATTTAACATATCCTATGAAGTTCTCTAGGACACAAGATGAGTGCATTGGCAAGATTCCACAAGTATTTTTCACATCTGGCTTTACACTACTTAAACAACTACTAAATCCACAAATACAAAAAAAAAAGAGAAAAAAAAAGTAAAGAGGACTTACCATATATCTTACGGTGCAAGTGATATCTTAGATTATCACATCAAGACTAATGCTAAATCAATTTGTCACCCACTAGAAGAGGCTCAGAAATACCTCTTCCTGCCTGAAGAAGGATGTACCGGTTTGCAAGCTTCTAGCAAGCAAATCTGTTTTCATTTAAAAAAAAATCAAGGAGCAGTTCTCTTTTTTTTCTATAAATGGGTCATCAGATGTTACTTTTTAACTGAGATGTGCAAGAGATGTTGAAATTGTGTAGGATCCTCTTAGTAGCTGAATTCAAGGTTTCACAATCAACAGCTGTAGTTATAAGAAAAAAGGGTTTTCATATTGCTGGTTTTCTTCCTTTTCTTTCAACTAACCTCTAAGACAAATACAGTTTTGTGAGGTTTAACCTTTTGTGTTTCTGCATCTTGTATTTCTTCTATTCTATTTGTCTCTTAACAGAAAGTGGAAAAGTTAACTAACACTTTTATTAATTCACAAAATTACCTGCACTTTGTAGTCACTTGCTCTGCACTGCAGTCCTCAAATCTTAGGAGATTTGGTTGTTTCCCCTGGTCTCAAACCTGGTCTTTTGGACCATTTTGCTTAATCCCTTTTGTGAAACTGTAACTTAGTTTATGTAGTGAGTCTGAGCCTATTTTAAAGCCAGACTGATGCTTGTTAGAATTAAGCTCTAAAAAAACCTAAGAAAATCTGTTTTTTGATCAGTTTATTTGCTGTGGCTGCCTCCTGTGAGCTTTAGAGAAAGTTAAACTAAAGCTGCACCATGAGCAGCTTTTTAGGTTCTTAGGCATTAAAGAAATGACACAGAAGGTAGGAAGGGGGCAGAGAAAGCAAGCGAGAGGCGGTGCTTTGTCAGATGCCTGAGGATCCTCGGGAGAGGAACACTGAGCATGACGCCTAAGTGCAATCCCCTGTCCCCACTTAACATTGGTACACCTATAGCATCTTGCTTTTGGGAGGCTCTTCAGCCTAGTAAAAGCCCTAAAGGGGGTTCTTTGCAGCACTCAACCATCTACTTTCAAAAAAAATCAAGGAATCCTTAAAGGATTTGAAAAGCCTAAAAGGCCAATGGACATGTCTTGCTTTGAATGCTGCAATTCAGTGATGCGATCAGGGGAATCACAGCTCCTGAGTTACACCTCAGATCTGGAGGGAGTGAAATGTCTGTCTGTCTGTCCGTCTCCCTTGTCAGTCCTTGTTTGCATCAGAGGCTAACCAAGGTATTTATTCTCTAGGTTTAATAGATTTTCCTCTTCTTTTCTTGATCTTGATCTACTCCAAAGAGATATTTAAGTGCCGGAGTCTCAGTATCAAAATGAATGGCTGCTGCAGTGTATTCTAAGGGTGTATTCACCCGACCTTTCTTGATGGACTGTGTTAGGCTCCCTGTACCACCAGTGGAAAGACTTGCTTCTAAAAATGGTTCCAGTTCCTAAAATGAGATGCTAATTACTAACTAGGCTGACTTGAATCATGCATGAAGATGCCTACATCTCTCCACTGGTGAAAAAGTAATGGGGAAGATGAAAGAAAAAATGCTATTCTTCTCGCTGAAATATGGGAGCTTTTACAACTAAGCCAGATTTTCAGACTATAGCTCCTAATCCTGTCTCTGATAGTGGCAAGAAGTAGGTACAGAAAACACTGCGCAAGTCAGCTGAAAAATGTCTTTACCATGCACAGAATTTCTTCCTAAACCTCTGTCCCAATAGGTGGGTTCACATTTCCCTCCTTGAATTTTTATCCATTCCAAACATTTGTTTCTTGGTTTCTTTCTTTCTTTATTTAACCTAGCAGTAGTGAAGCACAGAGAAATATGCATCAGATTTTACGTCATAACCACATGGGTGTCATAACCACCTCATCTGAGGTGGTGAACAAGGTATGACAGGAGTCCTGTCACACATGAAGACATGAAAAACATGAAGAGGCAGACCAGGACCTGGAAGGAAAGAGCTTGCTCTGGTGGGGG